CAGCCAGAAAACTCAGCAGAAACCAGCTTTTAGAAATGCAGATGTAATAATCCATTCAGGAAGGTTGGGGCCAGGAAGCTAGAAGCTATGAGATTAGGAAAACAAAGACCTCTAAAATCTACATACCCCACCCAAACTCTAAAAGACATGACCTTTGGGGACATAATAGGATTAACCCACCAATCCCAAAAGGGCACACTCAGACTCAGGTCAAAGTACATGACACAGGAAATACAAAGCCTCAAACAGGAACAGGAAATAACCTCAAGAGCCCAGAAAGTATAAAAACCTACCACTCCCAGCAACATGTGGTCAGCTTTCCCAGAACCACGCTCTGTCTGGCTTTGCTCTTCAATAAACTCCAACCGTCTTTCTAAAGCAGTCTCCATTTTGTTGATTCCCAGCTTGGACTGGACCCTGATGAAGATTTTTATTTCTACACTTCACAAGTATTTAACTTGTTTGATATTTGCTGAAATTTCTATTGACAAATCAAGCTATGTCAAATACCAAATTGAAGACTTTCGGGTATTCCTGGTGGGAATATGTATGTTAGAAAGGAAAGGATTAATGTAAACGTATTTATTAGAAAGTTGAAGGAATTGCATGGAAACGGCATCGATATTCCCAATGGAAGCAAATATAAGGTTTCAAGCCTGTAGACTAGAGTGGGAAGGAAAAAAAGACACTAAAAAGAAAAAGAAAATGCAAGCTACTTGTTGCCAGAAATCACTAGAAGATTCACTTAAAGAAAACATCGCCCTTCTTACAGCAACTAAATGCTTTTATTAAATCTTATCGCTTACTCGAATGCCAGCTTGATGTGGTTAAAGCACCAGGCTAGAAACCAGGCATTTTAGTCCCCATCTTAGCACAAGTCCAGCTGGGTGACCTTGGGCCAGTCACTCTCAGCCCTAGGAAGCAGGCACAATATATCTATCTTAGTATCCAACTTTTCTCCACTAATTTATTTGACTGAATGACTAGCATCCTCAATTCTCTGCCCTGCTGGCTGGAAGCACTTGAAAAAGCCTAAATGGGTTTATTAGAGGTGATACCTGCAAGAAAGCTTTATTTATATCTTGTCCCAACTATGGTATGCGTAGCCAATTATTTCACAATTGTGAAGCATCTTTTTTCCTCAGTTTAAATATATACATTTTTGGTAAGGCAAGTCATCACCCTTGACCTATTCCACTCTAGCAGAGTAACTTCTTGTAACTTGCCTGAAAGAATTTAAGTGGGAAAACATCTTTAAAGTCATGTTGTGGGTGTGATCCTTCTACCTAATGTGGAAAGCCTTTTTTACTTGGCTCAAATTTTTCTGCTTATTCCTTGGTATAGCAATATTTATTGTTGAATTAAGTAGACTGCCATGAGAAAAAAGGTTAAATTAATTCAGTATTGGAACACACAATCCCATGTTCCATACTTGGTTTTGTAAACAACTTTAACTTAATCTGATCTTGGAAATAACATAAAGAACCCATTCTGTATTAAGAAAAAAAGTATTTATCCTGATATAAGTGAAAGTTTGAGACCTTTCTTTGTCAATTTCTCCTCTCTTTCTGTTGACTTTATAAGAGAATCTCACAAATTACACGGTAGAATTTATAATGGTGTGTAAATTTATCCTTAGGTTTAAGGTTAAGAGATTATTCTGTCTAAAAATTAAGCTATTCAATTTTATCTTAGGGGAATCACTAGACATATTATCCACATATTCCACGTTATTGTAGATGAGTAAATCAGGTCCTATTGGTATCATTAGATATAATTTAGAACTACAGCTTTATCTTCCAAAAATATACTCAAAACCTTACAGATCAAATGATAACAAGGATATATATAATTACTTCCCAAAACATGTATTCAATTTATTCATTAATTAAAATGTTGGAAATGTTTACAGTTTGCAGCCTGACTGCTTTCCCGAGCAGCCGAAGAGTGCAGCTGCCTGGACAGCTCTATTATTGCTATCACCTATTTCTCTTTCTTGGTTGAAAAGCATCACGCCCCCCCCTCCTGAGGTGTCGGAGAAACGGTTGTCGGAAACAGATGTGGGAGAGGCCAGCTCTACGGAACCGTGGATGACACCACTGCAGAAGGAGATTCTCAGCCAGGGAGCCCGGGAGAGCAGATGCCAATAGAGGTAGTGGCCAAGGCTGGGGAGCTGGAGGATCCCTCCAAGGTACCATAGTCTCCGTCCCATAGCGCGCATCTGGAAGAGGCTGCCAGTTTGGCGAGGGTGTCACTCTTTCTGGATTGATTTGGCAACCCAGAAAGGGAGGCAGGCATAAAAAAAGTATGGGGGGAGGGTGAGTGCACATGTGTGTGCACTGGCCATCCCTTCATGCGGCATGGTGGCCAAGTGGCTGCGGCTCAGTAGTGGGCCATGGCCCACAGGTTAGGGAACCCCTGTTCTGGAGGGTGTTCTGCTTCATATCTTGGCGCGCAAACTTTCTGGGGGAGCCCTGAGCACCTGCTGGGGAGTGCGCAGGCATCTGCCTCCCTTTGCCACCCTGCCCTCTGTGGGGGGAGGGGGTGAAGTTTGGTGGGGTGGGCATGGCAGCGGCAGCAATGGTGGCTACTCAGCTCTTCTGAGGCAGGGCACTCCGTAGCTGGCGCCTCCACAGTAATAAACTCTTTCCTACCTTTTGTCTGTCAAAAGAAGCTCTGTCCCCCTCCTGCCGCTAAGGCTGAGGAGTAGGAACTGGGGCGCTTTAGTCAGCCCCCTCAGGAGGCATGGCCTTCCAGCACCTCCTGGTCTCACCTCATGCCTCATTCCCTAGAAGTGATGAAGGGTGTCCTGGTCTTGCACTGTCTGTGTTCTTTTGCACCTTCCTCTCCCGCGCTGCCCCACTTGCATCCCCGGGAGAAGGAGGGAGGGCAACACACACACACAAAACAAGGCACCATATAAGTAACACATACACACAAAAAAACCCAAAGCACACACTCTCCTAGAGAGAAATTCCCTGAGGATGGGCTTCAGCATAGTCCATAAGCTCAGAAACCTAAATAAATCTCTGGTTCGGTGACTGACCCAGATTGGATCCTGTAGTACATGCTTTTTCTGGCTGGTGGTGAAAGTAATGAGTTTTTTTTACCATCTATTTTTTTTTATTCAAGACATGGTTAAAATGCAAAACTGCAAGACAAGAAGAAGGAGCAGGAGGAGGAGGAGGAGGAGGAGGAGGAGGAGGAGGAGGAGATACATTTTATGATTTCCACACTGTAAAAGATATATTCTGAAAAAAATTCTCTTTCTACTAAACAAAGTAATTAAAATATTATATATTGACTGACTTACCTTTTATCTCCTTTTTCCTTCTTGTACTTCATTTCTCAATATAGATTTTACATAAAAATGGACAGATA